CTCACCACAACCTCCGCCTCCTGGGTTCAGGCAATTCTCCTGCCTCAACCTCCTGAGTAGCTGGGATTACAGGCATGCGCCACCATGCCCAGCTAATGTTTTGTATTTTTAGTAGAGACAGGGTTTCACCATGTTGACCAGGATAGTCTCGATCTCTTGACCTCATGATCCACCCACCTCGGCCTCCCAAAGTGCTGGGATTATAGGCTTGAGCCACCGCGCCTGGCCTTGTGGTTACAGTGACTTTCAAGAGAGTGGGGTGGGGGACAAAAAGCAGATCATGAGGGGTTTAAGGGTTGATTGCCCGGAAGATGAAGTACAGACAGTGAAAAGTTGAGGATTTGAAGAGAGATGGTCCAGTAGTTCAGAGAGCAATTGGGTTAACGAACAGCTGTTTTCAAATAGCACCAACACAATCATATTTACTGGCTTGAATAATGAGCGGGAAAGACTGTAGATGCAAGTGAGAGGAATAAGTGAGGACACAAGGTTTGGAAGTGGCAAACATGCTGTGATTAACAATAGCAATGGAGAGATGAAAAACAAAGTCAGTCTCTGAGCCACCCTGGAGTAATGAAAGAGAGAGGGCCTCAAAGACATAGAAACATCAAGAGAAAAAGCAAGATGTCAAACATAGCTCCAAGTGGGCCTAATGTATCATCAGGGAGTGTTTCAGGGTTTCAAGGATTTATGTACCCTTTCTTTATTATATGTAACAGGACCAACACCAGACACGAAAACTGATTAATCTGTGAAACTAGCACGCCATGATTTTTGTAGGATATCACCTGTAGGAGGCATTCTTGCTGTAGTTTGAAGTGATGGGGATTTAGTTAGAATTAACTGTCCATCACATGCTCTCTGATGAGGTGAATTACATCCTAGCCCTAGCTCATCTTTCTTTCTTTTTCTTTTTTTTGAGACAGAGTCTTGCTCTGTCGTCCAGGCTGGAGTGCAGTGGCGTGATTTCAGCTCACTGCAACCTCTGCCTCCTGGATTCAAGGGATTCTCCTGCCTTAGCCTCCTGAGTAGCTGGGATTACAGGCATGCACCATCACACCTAGCTAATTTTTGTATTTTTGGTAGAGACAGGGTTTCCCCATATTGGTCAGGTTGGTCTCCAACTCCTGACCTTGTGATTCGCCCGCCTTGTCCTCCCAAAGTGCTGGGATTATAGACATGAGCCACTGCGCTGAGCCACCTAGCTCATCTTGTAGAGAAATATGACTGTTGGCAGAAATGAGTTCTTCCAGTGTCTTATCCCCATTTTAGTTCTATGTTTATTCTTCTGTACTTACTTAATTAATTCTATTACAATGTGAAACATTTCAGGTATTTTTCCCCCGAATTTATTCTGTTGAAACCACTCACAATTGTTTTCAGTTTCAGCGGGAAAAAATTCCCTTGAGGATTTCTGAATTGTAAGTTACGAGAAGTAAAAGAAACACTTGTGTAAAAATTTAAAGCACATTTAACAATTTCCCTTTAGTTTGTTCGAGGAGGCAAAAATATTTGATGTTTTAAACATCCAGGATCGTAAGTGAGCTCAAAGGATGGACTGTTGTTTAGTTAAGCATGAAAGGACTTTAGAATTGTCAGTTATTAACTTCTAATTTGTGTGAAAGAAACTTCGAGAACTTTCCCCTAGTAATTAAGCCATTATTCTAACAGGAGCAATTAAGGGGTGAGTATTTAATAAAAATAAAGATAATGGAAAGGACTCTATACCCCAAGACACATCAAGACAAGGGGCAGCTGCAGCAACAAAAAAAGGAACTTGATTTGAATTCACAAAGGAAATTAGACAACCCATTTCAACTAAAAACAAACAAGCTGTTGGCGGAGAACAAGGAAAGATTCTTATTACTTAACTCCTTGCAAATATATATATATACAACTCTCCCTTTCAGTGTGGAAATGAACCAATCAGAATTAAAGTTTTGTTGATTGTGGATTAACATATGCCATTCAGTAAGATAGTTTGACTGGAGCTTTTGGGGTATTTTATTTTGAAAATATGATACTCTGGTAGCATGGTTGATTGGAAAGGTAGGACAGACAGTCGAGATGGACTTGGCTCAAGGAAACGCACCTATCCTCCTATTACCATTCTTGTGCCTCTGTCACTTCTCAGAGGGCAGGGTTTAATTGTTTCAGCCTAAACCGCTTTGTCCAGTGGGTAGCACAACTCCCTCAGAGGAAGCACTTAACTTCTAAGAAATGGTAACAAGAGTGGATATTCTTAGAAATCTATTGATTTAAAATGCTTCCCAGTCTCTGCCCAATCCTGTCAAAGCCCTTATAAATTTAACATGCTGCTTGTAAACAACTGATTCAGCCCCAAATACTTGAGGGTTAGATATCCTATTCAGAACGTGCATTGTGCTGTTTGTTTAGCAAGTAAGAGTCTTGCTGCCAGTTTATCTTGCACCTTTTTGAGAATATGTGGGTAAACAGAAAAGCTGATGAATTCTGACAAACTACAGTGGTGATTCTCAAACTCTGAACTGGTAATCTGGGTGCTTACTAAAATGTAAATTCTTTCAATATAACCCATAGGTAAAGAAATAAAAAATGCAAATTCTTAGGTAATCAATTTGCCACAGAGATTCGGAGTCAGTTTTTTTTTTTTTTTTATTTTAGCACAACGGAAAAGGGGGTCTAGGGATCAGTATTTATAAAATATTGATGTAAGCTTTTTTTTTTTTTTTTTAACTTTCCTACCCTGTTAACTGATGATGTAAGTATTTTTGAAGGAATAAAATGATTCTGTAAAATTCAAACTTTACATATTGGATCTGGCTCTTGATTCTTTATGTGAATCAAATTGAGGGCAATTATTAACAATTCCTTCTTAATTGGCAGGAAAATGACTTTTAAAAAATTAGTAGACTTTCAAAAAAAAATTTCTGGTTTACAGAGAAATTGGGCAGAAAGTATAGAGTGTCCATGGACCCCTCCTAGCCCCTCATCCTCACCTGCCCCTATTATTAACATGTTGCGTTGGTACATGGTACATTTGTTATAACTGATGAGCCAATATGGAAAGCAACTTTTGAAATGATATGGCAAGGTTGCCTAATATATCAGTGGCTGGGCTGATGCTAGGAACAAAGTCACACCCACAAACTCACTTGAACAATCTTCCTGGTAATTTCTCTGGCAGAGATGTTGTGTGCAGATTAATACCATAATGACTGTAATTGTTCTGCCCCAGTATCTGAACACCAATGGTTGCAGGACCCATTTGACTAAGCACTTTGGTTGGTGCCTGGGATTGTTGGTATTTATCCTGACTCCATCTCCACTTTCCTTGCAACCTTGGACACAAGCTCGAGTGGCTCAGAGCCTTAAGTGTGTAAACCTGTGAAACAGAACAATAGCATTGCACAATATCATCAACTAATTTACACCTTGACTCTTTCTAAAGCGAAGTGAGGTGGGAGCAATATTAATGCTGAAGAACTGCACTGGGATAAGTTACAAACATGCTTGACTTTCCCCATAAGGATTACAGAAGGATATTTCATTCATTCATTCATTCATTCACTCATGCTGTGAGACAGCCTGGGGATATGCAATTTAAAGACTGATCCTTCCTGCAAGGAGCCACTGTTCTCCCAATTGCGGATAGGAAGGACACCAAGAAAAAGACCCTTATAACATGATATAGTTTCCCCAACAGTCTTAGGAATAAAACCTAGAGTGGGTATCTAGCCCAGTGGTAAGGGGGAGTTTGGGTGGGGTGTGTGGAGTAGCATCTTTGAGAAGGGTTCCTTCCCCTGGAAGATGTGTCTTTCTGAGCTGAGTTTGAAAGGTTGACTAGCAGGTGGCAAATTCTCTGGAGAGAGCGTCTCAAATCTTTTGTGGTGAAGAACCAGCCATTTTTGTTCCCAAGTAGGCCAGGTACCAATACACTGCGGCGCCAGGTGTGACTCACCACGTGAGTCTGACAACACCCAAACTGGTTTATACTTGGTTCAGAGAGTCCACCGATCATGTGCTTGGATGTCGTGGCATTGTTAAATTGCTACAAAAGTTTACTCTTAATTTCTCTACTTGTTACAGGCAAGCT